CATCATCACTCCTCCGAGAACACACGTGTCCCGTGCCAGCCAACCCTGGCACCGGCACCAAAACCAGCACATCGGTTCTTCGTACGAATCAAGTTAAAAATCTCAATTTTACAAAATATGCCTTTTAAAAAAAAAAAAAAAACAAAAACACAACAAGGCCCAGAACTGACAGACATGGCTCCCTTTGTACAGTCAATACAGCATCCTCCTGCCAGAGGTCCCAAAAGAAGGATGGGGAAAGGGATGGAGCAAGGTGGAGGCGCAGCCGGGCCCCACAGCGCAGGGCTGCACCTTCCCCAGCCCCTTCCCCACCATCAGGCCTCCTGGGCTTTCACCCCGGGCAGCCCCCGAGGGCGGCGGGCAAGGAGGGATGAGGGCGACCTGGCCCAGCCCTGGCCATCCCGGACCAACTTGTGCTTCCAACCCAACGCGATGCTCAGACCACCGCGTCGGGACAGGGACACTGCTCCACCACAACCGAAACCACGACACGGGTGAAGGTCCCTCTGCCCTCCTGGGCCAGGCTGCAATGAGCTGGGGGAGAAGGAGCGAGTGGAGCGGGGGGGCCGCAGCCCCCCACGTCTGCCCCACAGCTGCTGCTCAACCCAGCAAGGAAACCACCACACTTTATCCAGAGCCATGAAACCCCCCAGCCACGCCGTGCCCCAGCCCAGGGAGAAAATTGGCAGTGCCCCCCTGAGCCAGGGGAAACATCAGGCAAATAACGCCCCAAAAGCCACCCGCGTCAGCAGAGCTGCTCGCGCACAGGAACATTTTGCCTCTTGGCTATTGTTTAACGAGCGTAAGAAAAGGGAAATATTTATTGTCTCTGAATGCATAAAGGTGGCTCTGGGATTTGTCAGAGATGTGGATATTACAAAACACTTTATCTGGAGTCTTCCAATAGTCTGAAGTGAACTGTGTTGGGGCAGGGGGAGGAGAAAAAAAATTTTTAAAAAATCCATTTTCTATAGCAGTATAAAGTATCTAAATATGGGCAGTGACATGCTACCCTCCCAAACCTCTCTGGCATTTCAGGAATGTAAACAGAGGGGTTTTTTGTTGAGTTGGTTTTTTGTTTTGTTTTGTTTTGTTTTTAAGGGGGGGGGGGGAAGAATCAATCGACCAGACAAAATGAAAACAGATTCTCAGCTCAGTCCCATCTCCCACAACTGCTACGACAACTCTATTAAAGTGCATTTCAGTACCACCCCTCTCAGGAACCCTACACACACAAACCTCCTCTTCCTTCACAAGAAAAGGGAATTCAAGTTAATACTCCGCTAGAACAGTTTCAGCCTTTTTACGGATTTCTGCTTTTCCCCGCCCCGACTTTGTAGCAACATTATTTTTTTTGTTAGACTGGAAACGCCCCCTCCCCAACAATACTGTAAATTCAAGTGCTTACTTCAACTGTCAAGGGCAACAGTTCTGGATACAGCACACTTGATTGTACAAGCAACACCTTATATCACAATCAAGAAACCGAGGGAGTAACGCTTCCCCCCTCCAGCATCATATGAAAAATAAAAGTTAAAAAAAAAACAGAACATAATTAGCTATGAACACCGTTCGTTATGTACACCGGCTCCTGCAACAGATGCATGAACTCCGTTAGTTCTCAGTTTTATTGTCCTTTCTAAGAGCAACTGAGCAGTCACTGTTGTCTCCATTTAAATAAAACAACTCAGAGTTGAAATATATATATATAGATATATATATATAAGCATTTTTTCTTAAATAACATATTTACATCTAATAGAAAATATAACTCTAGAGATAATCTTTCCAACAAAATGTAAGACGTGGAGAAAAAAAAAAAAAAAAAGAGTTAATGAATTTAGGACAGTTTCTAAATCCTCTCCAGGACAAAATTAAAAAAAAAAATCATAAAAATAATAAAAAAAAAAGGCCCACCAAGCTCTAACCAAGCTTTTGTCTGGATCTGACCGAAGAACACCCCAGCACCACCTCCAACAAACTCATCGCTTCTCTTTAAAGAATCCTTGGTCCGTGCTGCTCTCCTTGATGGTGACGGTCAAAAAGTTAGAGGTCACATCAGTTACCACCACCTTCTCCAGGTTGTTGAGAGAGGGGCTCCAGGACTCCTCCTCGGGGTCCCCCAGGATCCTGGAGACGGGGATCCTGGCGATGAGGGAGGGTCGCCCCGCTTGGCCCCCCACGCCGTCACGGTACAGGCTGGCCCCCGCGCCCGGGGCCCAGGAGCTTGGGCCCGCCGGGGTCCAGCGTCCCCTGCCCCTTGGGGTCCAGAAAGTCTGCCCGGTGCTTGGCCAGCCGGGGAGGGTAGCTCTCGGCAGCTCCCAGCTTGGCACCCACCTCAGCGCGGTTGGAGCTGGGCAGGGCGCCGGGCAGGTCGGGGTCCTGCCGCCTGGCCAGCTGGATGACGCTGTGTCCCGAGCTGAACTTGGCCGCCGTCGCCTCCTCCATCTTCCTGGCCTTCAGGTAGTCCCCCACCTTGTCCCCCGGCTCCCCCAGTTTCCTCTTGGAGGCATCCAGAGTCTCCGCCAGGTCCTTGTAAAGCTCCTTCCTGGGCTTTGGGCCTCTCTTTTTGGGGGTCTCCTCGGGTTTCTCCTCCACACGGATCACCCGGTCCCGGATGCTGTCTCCCTTGGGGGTGCTGGTGCTGGAGCTGCCCTGGGGAGCCAGGGCTATGTTTCTCAGTCCTTCCCTAGCCCGGGACGTGGAGCCCAGCTCCTGGGGGGACCTGCCAGGATACGGCACCCGGATGCCCCTGGAAGAGTCACTGCGGAATTCATAGGTTTTGGCTTTTGCTTTTGCCTGGGCCTGCAAAGAAGATAAATCAACCGGTGACTTTATGATCCCGCCATCCGGCTGCATAATTACAACTTACAAGACAAGAGGCGCCTTTGCAAAGAGCATCCTCCGTGGGGCCCGGCGAGGGACCTGCTCCCCACTGTGGCACGCGGCCGGCACCGGCACGCGCGGGGCTCCAGCCTCCTTACCTTGAGCAGGAAGGTTTTGGGCTTGGGGCCCCGCTTTTTGGGGCCGTATAGCTCCATTTCTCGCTCCCTAGAGGTGTCAAAAAAACCAAAGCTTCAATTCAGCATAGCTACGAGACAGCAACATATTTACAAGCGCAACGGCTACGGCTAGCAAAGGCCTTGTACCTTTCCTCAAAGGCTGCGAGCAGCCGGGCATCCAGGATGTTTTCCTCGGGTTCCCAAGTGCTGTACCTGGCGGGGGGACATGACAGAGAGAGGGGACGGCATGAGGAACCCGGCACAGAAAAAAAAAAACGTAATAA